AATAGGTTTTTTATTTTCAAAGAGCCATACCTTTTTCAAAAACTGACCTTTTGGTATCTTTTTTTTGAATTTTTTTTAAATGAATTTTTCGAAAAAATCGATTAAAAAAATTTAACATGATCAACTCTTGGAAATTATCACTTTTTTAATAAAATTGTTATTTTTGCGAAGTTCGCCATTTTTTATATTTTTTTCTTAAAAAAAACTTCAATTAATGTTAGAATTATTCCCGCCAATGCCAGAGTGGGCCGATTTTTTTTCTATTTTTTTTATTTAATTGAAAAAAAATTGTCTAATTTTCAAGATTGAAATTTTTGTTTTTTTCACAAACTTTATTTATATAATAAAATAAATGCAATTTAACGATTTTAAGGTATTATATTCTCAATTTATAAGCTTAAGCTACGATTATAATGACTAGGATTAATGATTAATACAGTTAAAATTAAATGATTTTAAAAATAATGCAAAAAATTATTTATTAATTTCCTCTCTGGCGTTTAAATATTTAACAATTTCATTCGCGCGTCTGGGGTGTTTTGTTTTAGTCTAGCTTGGATTTGAATAGACTTTAGCGTATAGCATCTAGTTAACTGACTATAGGTAAGTGTATAATTATCAAACCCTAGTTTATCGATCTAATTAATGTATTAAAATTTGAATCTTAGTCACTACAGTCGTAGCTTAAGCCTATAAATTGAGAATTTTATTATATAAAGTTAAAAATACAAAATTTCAATTTTGAAAATTAGACAATTTTTTTTTCAATTACCTAAATAAAAAAATAGGAAAAAAATCGGCCCTCTGGGATTGGGGGAATATTTGTAACATTAATTGAAGTTTTTTTGAGAAAAAAAAATAAAAAAGCGAACTTTCCATAAATAACGATTTTATTAAAAAAGCGATAATTTCGTGGAGTTGATCATGTTAATTTTTTTGTCTATTTTTTCGAAAAATTCATTTAAAAATAAAAAATTAAAAAAAAAAAGATACCAAAAGGTTAATTTTTGAAAAAGTTATGGCTATTTGAAAATAAAAAACCTATTTTTTTTTATTTAAAACTTTTGTTGGGTTGGATAACAAAATTTTCAAAAATGTTTTTCAAAGGGTAGAAAAAAATGGAAAACTTTTGGCCAGATCGATTCAAATATATATATATATTCAAATATATTATATATTCTTATATGGTTTATTTCCATATTAATTTGTTTTCTGTCTCATGCATTTAAAATTCTCCCAGTTTGTATCGATTATATTTTTTTTCATTGTTTCTATAGTCTTCTCACTATTATTCTTGCTTTAAAAATATGTTCTTGATTTATTAATTCATTCCATTTTCTCATTAGTAAAAATTATCACACTGTACCTGTGTTTTTTCAAATATATCCGGAATTCAATAAGTATTTTTATTTTATTTCATCCATATTACATTTTTTTATTAATTTCAACCATGCATTACATGGTCAATGGCTGCGTGCAGATTTATTTCCATATATATTTCAACCATCCGTTGTGGAAATTTCTTGTGACTTTCTCAATCTGATGTAGATTTTCTATATTTGATAGTTTCCAGCTTATTTTTGTGCAGGGATTTCGATTATGTTCCTCCAGGGTCACAAGAACGAATAACAAAACTCTAATATATAAATAATTATTAAGACATTAAAATTAAATCAAATAACATACTTGTCTGGGGCATACCAGCCCAAGTGTTCCCACTCGGCAGTCATACATATCGACATAGATTAATGATTTAACCAAGTTTCATCAAAATTCGAGTATACAATTGACATAAAGTTAACTTTATTAGGTGGGAACACTTGGAATGAAATGCCTCTCTGTACTGTAGATGTAACTTTACCTCTACATTCCAACCTTAAAAATCATTATTATAATGGCCGTGCGCAGGATTTTTAACCCTTTTAACAGGGCATTACCACAAAATTTAAAAGGTAGATAAGAAGTTTTAAATCCGATATTGAATTGTTACATTTATTCTACAATTTATAGCAAGATATTTTGCTCTTATGAATTGAATTCCCAAAATCCCCCCCTTGCGCACGGGCCTAAAGTACCTAGGAATACTTATTTTTTGTTTACTAATTTACTTATGGTTTTTAGGACATCCACAATAAATTTAAAAAAATAATAATATTCAAATAAAAATGCCTCCCGTTACGGAAATTGAAAAATTAGTGAAACTTGCAAAATTCTTTATTACTGAAGGCTTCAGTTTTTCTGATGTTCAGAACATGACAATCCGAGGTAATCATTACTTTAACGAAGCAGCCAAAATTGCATTTGAAAGAGACAATTATGATGTAAGAAGGAAAATCGAAAAAATATTTAAAAATAACAGGGGTGGTATGGAAAACATATTTAATAATTTAAAAAAGAAGCAACCCACTGTTTGAAATGAAAATGTCACAGAAACAAAGGTGGTCACAAACATGAATTCAAGCTTGGATTTAAAGCAACCAAACAGGGTAAGTTCTGAACATTTTGTTGTTGATTTATTTGGCAATTGCTAATATATTGATAACATAAATTATACTAAAAACACTGAGTGTGTTCTGCCACTAGGTTAAAAAAAATACTGCAGACAAAACTGATCTAATTAATAACGATAATAATATGAACTTTCGTAGACATAATTATAATTTCTGCACAATTGAAGAGGGAAATTTTTTCCTAACCAAAGCCGAGTTTGAAAGTATTTGCGACAAAAAACAAAATAAACTAATATCCGGTACCTATTCTGCTATTATAAATGCTAAATTTAAACAAATCGTTAATAACACATGCCCATTTTATGTAAATTTAACAAAATATCCCAGAAGTAAAAAATACTTCTGTGTTGTTTATGGGTATTGCCAACCGAAGACATGTAAATCATTTAAATTAAATTTTAAGTTACAATCTGACAAAGCCGTAATTATTGAAGTCTTGATTAATCGTTATAATTTTCATCACGTGAAGGATATGACTAGACAAGTTCGCGGTATCAAACGGAAACATTTGGGAAATACGTATATAAAACATACACCTTTACAAACCGAAGTAGATTTGGTAGAAAAAACAGATGTAAAATTAAAACTTGTTTCTAAGAATAAACAATGTATAAAAAGTAGAGTGTGACCGGGACAAAAACGATATGAGGGATATATTTGAAATGTCTCTAGAACATCTCGAATATATACTTCCTAAGAAGTCCCAGAAGCCAACTGAATGGCTTGTGCGGGTTAGGAGTAGGAACGGACCGCGGGCTTAAAGTCCCCTCCGAAGGACTATTACACAATAGGACAAACACAAATAAACAGCCATACCCCTGGTGGGATTCGAACCCACGCCCTCCGGCTTGTAGTCAGCAGCACTAACCACTAGTCCACCGTCGACGGTATACAATAAGAAACTTTATTTCCAATTTTAAAAAAGAGTTCATGGCGGAAGCAAGCAATAAATGGCCCATCTTTGATAAAGTTGTTTCTGATTTTAGTATGGCAATTTTAAATGCAGCGTCATTAGGTTTTAACGATATGTCAATATTTCAACACGTGCTATGATATTGCCAAATTAAATTTTAAAACGCAAAGGTCCAAATTAACGCCTCTATGTTTATGCTATGCTCATTTGATGAAAGCATTTAGTTTGAATGCCAAAAAATATTTTTCAAATTCTGTAGATTCATCAACATTTTATATTGAGGCGTTGAAAAGTATTTATAGCATGAACAGTTTGGAAAAAAATGATTTTCTTTATAAAAACTTGTGTGAGTTATTGACAACAAAATTTGAAAATGAAAGGGTATTAACTTGTATTAACAATATTGACAAAGTCGTTGCATCTATTGAAGTGGCCGAGACAGATGAAGAGGTTAAAATTAACGAACAATTATTTAGTGAATTAAAAAACTAATAAAGCGACGATGATAATGCAAATAATATTTATACAAACGAAGATTTCTTTAACGAATCTTCTGTTACTGTTAGTGAACCTTTGATATTTGATGAAGACTTATCATATACAAATAATAAGTTTTATTATCACTTTAATATTATAAAAACTACAATCCTTGAACGAATTACTAATGAGGGTACAGGACACAAATTAAATTTATACTACAATCCTGAATTCTTACATTTTATAACAAAAAGATATTTCTCTGTCGTTCCATTATGAAGTTTACTCATTGTTGGCAAAAGAGGTTGCAATGCCCCTCCCGTGTGGGGTTTTCTGTGTGTTTTCCCCCATCGTGGCGCGTCCCCGGGTGGCGGATAGGGGAAAGCCTCCCAGATATGGGAGGCAGGGGTCGTAAATACCCTCGCGGACCAAAAAACACACACAAATCCCAAAGCGTCTGACCCGAGACGGGCGGCTTCTGGGTCTGCGTCTGTCCCCAGAGGGGCGGCAGTACATACCACCTGGCCGTAGGGATAAAAGGCAATGGAAGGGAAACCATTTAAAAAAATAACCCAAACATGTAATATGGAGGATGTGAAACAAAATCCCCAGGAGGGTCCGGTTACACCGGGAATCCCTCCCTGCGCAAGCAGGCTGCCCCACGGATCTGGGGGGGGCACCATATCCATAAAAGATGTAAAACACCAAAAAACCCAAAAAAATATTCAACACCCACAGGAAAGCTGCCACGGTGTAAACCAGCCTGGGTGCTTGGCATCAGCCACTGGGACACCACAGAAAGAAAACATAAACAAAAAGGATCAGCGAAGAGGGACCATAGAGACCCTAGATTTAACATGGTACGACGAGACCGAATCCTCGATACCAAGTAAGGAATACGCGCCCCTACTACAGGCCAGGAGAGGCTCCCTAGTCGGGATAGCTCTCTTAAATAAGACTCTAGAAAGAAGCATGTCCAACGATACGCTGAACGGATTTATAAATAAAAGAAAGGCAATTGACTCAGCCAGAGAGGAAAGTAATCAAGCATACAAAAAAGGGAATCCTCGGAGGCCTTCGTCCTAAAAGAGGCTCTAGATATGATTAGCCAGTTGGCTAAAGAACTCGAAAAACACATTGAGCAAAATACAAAGAGGGAGATCAAGACCCTATCGACAGAACTCACAAGGCAGGTGGAGACTATAAATAGAGTCACGATTCAAAGGTGGCTGGAGACACATAGACTAGAGGACATCCCCAAACTAACTTTCGACGTAGATACCCAAACCACGGTCACCCAACTCATTCAAACCGAAGAAGAAGATGAAGACCATGACATCGTGTACGTCCGTAAACCAACAAACGAGTACATAGAACAGAAACAGGGACTGGCCAGCCCAAAGCTGGACCAGGTGACAGAACTGGTAGCCTCGCTGAGCTCCTTCATCAAGGACAACAAGAACGTACATGTCAAGGTCAAGGAGCTGACTCAAGAAATAGATTCAGTTATGTCGTCAGTACGCGAGGAACATACAAACAACAGCATCAAACTAATAGAAAAAGAAAGACTTTACAAACAGACAATAAGAGAACTGAAAACGAGGACTAAGTGTACGAAGTGTGAAAAAGAAAAATTCCTACTGGAAACAAAGATTGAGGACTACAGGGAATATGCGGAAATAGCAAAAAGAGAATGGGACCTTAAATCCTACAAGGTAACAACGATAGAAAAGGACGACCCATTAAAGAGTTAATGGAAAAATCTTCTTTTTTTCGCTGACTCTGACCCCAGGAACCGGTCCAGAAACGTTTCCTAAATAGATTCCCTGAAATACTATCTGGTAATAATGATACAGCGGAAGGCATAAGTACTTTAGAACAATGCCCTTTAAACTACTTCAGATTAATACCAACCTATGCCTGGCCGCACACGACATGGCGGTCCTTACAGCAAAAAAAATAAATTTGACCTAATTGCAATAAGCGAGCCGAACATCAAAAAAGCAGAAAACTATTTTGGACAAATTAAAAACCATTATTTTGGGAACCACTTGCGACTAAAACTTTCCAGATTTGTAAGAAAAATGAGACAATATACATTACACCTTTACAAATTGCATCAAATGAATATTGTTACAAAAGGAAAAAATAAAAAACCAAAAAAAAATTGCAAACGAAACCAAGACGTCGTCTTACAAGAAGAATGGAATAAGAAACAAAAAAACCGGCATTCTTTCAAAACCTTCATTCAATAAAAAAAGCAAAAAAAAACAGCTTAAATTACGAATTTTATGATAATGGCCTTGTTAAAATACCCGATAATCATTATCTTCGCGAGTTATTTAGCAAAGATGGGCTTAGACGCGAATTTAGTATTGGTTTGTATAATACCGAATATTTTATACGAAATTTGCCCTCAGAAGATTTTCGTTGCTTGTCATTAAAGTATTTTAATGGAACATATAAACGTTCACCTGAAGAAATGTGGTTTACAGACATTTTAATAGATAGAATTTTCTAACAATTTCAATGGTAATGGTAATTCTGTTGAGAAATTAATTCAAGTTTTAAAAGAACGAGAAAAAACGTTATTGCTTCCACTTAACAGTTTACAATTTAATGGTTTACAACATTGAAGCTTACTTGAAGTAAACTTAAAAAACAAATATATAAAGCATTATGACTCTTGTACAAGTAAAGCATTTACGAAACAACTTAAAGATGAGTTTGAAAAATTGTATTGCCAAGTTTAAAATAAAACTAATATTCACTTTGATATACTTGACGTACAAAATTCAATACCACAGCAAAATGACGCTTTCAATTGCGGTACTTATCTTTGTTATTTTGCACAGTGTTTATTAAATAATGAATCAATTGATTTAAAACTCGATATAAATAATTACCGAGCATATCTAATGACATATGTTTTGGAACATTCAGAAAATGTATCCAACCAATGTTTGCAATGCGGAACATTTGGGGAAGTAGACGATGAATGGATATGTTGTGATAGATGTAACCATTGGTTACATGTAATGTGTATTCGTATCAACAATAGACAATTTAAAGTTCCAGAAGGTGTCTAAATAATTAAAAATTCAGCATAACAAAAAATAATTAAAATTTTATTGAGTTTAGGGCATAACGTTGCGATCGTTGGACAAAGCGTAAATCGCTGGTTTTGCTGCGACGACTTTATTATTTTTGCAGATTCCAGCAGATTTTGACACCCTAGCAAATCTATACGAGCCGCGAAACTGTCGTAAGTAATAAATTTTTCCAATAAAACTGAACTATCGATAATTCATAAAATGGATCTTTTTCACAAAATATCAAAATAATAATGATAATAAAATATGTTATTACTAATATGTGTCCATTGGTTGACATAATGTATACGCTGCAGTCGTCGGTAGGGGAGCATTCTTATTTAAATAACATGCAGGTACAACGCAACTAATGTTTGTTACAAAAACCTTGGCTTTGTGGCAATGTGGTTTTTGTAAATCATTTTTTAGCAAGTTGACCAGACCATCAGCGGTCACTAGAACCAAGACGATAACTACTTAGTTATAAGTCCTTCTATCCTACCGAGTTCGAGATAACCACATCCAACGCGCGACATAATAATTTGTACGCTGCAGTTGTCGTTAGGGGAGCATTCTTATTTAAATAAGATGTAGGTACAACGCAACTTATGTTTGTAATAAAAACCTTGGCTTTGTGGCAACGTGTTTTTTTTTAAATATTTCTTAGCAAGTTGTCCAGACCATCAGCGGTCACTAGAACCGAGACTATAAACTACTTTGTTTATAAGTCCTTTTAGCCTACCGAGTTCGAGATTTACAAATCCAACCATCCATAGCAAAATAATTAATTATTTACATATGCTATTATAGCATAGCTATAGTTACATGTCTTTTAGTTTCAATACCCTTATAAATATAAATAAAAAAATATATATACAATATCATTTATCAATCAAAACAAAAGAGACATTGCAACTAAAATTTTTATTTTATATTATTATAAGTTGTCATGAGAGGCACCGTTGGAGGCCTTTAGCGCCAACGGTGGATGTGGGTGAAGGGACCACTCTTTTCTTTAATAATAATAATTGAGTTTGTAACCTCAAGTCAGGGTTGTCAGATCAGTAAGCGGATTTTACCCAATCGGGTTTTAAAAATCCCCAGAATTGTTTGTATTAATTATTATGATGCATTATTGAATTATTGCATTATTGAATATATCGTCGGCTTAATCGGCAAAGTGCGTAACTCCACATTTTTGAAAAAATTACATTTTTGTGCCATCTGGTAGGAAATATTCCACCTCGTGAACTAGCAAAATCCATAAATCCAAGATTAAATTGTTTTCTTTGCAATTGCGCAATGTCTAAAGTAGAAAACGTCGTATCTCCTTTCCCGCCAACCCGTTACCCGTTACCATGGCCTTGACCCTATTCGTGTAAAATATAGCTTTCATATTCCAAACTTTTTATAGATTTTATTTATTCTAGACCATGGCAAGACGAATTGATAGGATCTTCGAAGCATTGGATGTTCGTAAAAGTAATGTTAACGAACCGCCAGTTAAAAAAAAGCGTTAATAAAATATCATCTAGCGATGATCCGGTCTTGAACTCAACCTTAAAGGATAATGATAACTCAGATCTATCAAGAATTATTGAAGAAGCCGAGATCATATTTTTAAATGAGGGTGGTAAGTAATCATCAAAACTCTGTAGCTAGACAAGTCTGGCATCCAATTAACTAACATTATTTTACAATTTTCTTCAAGTAACTTCAGTGAGCAGTTTTGACCTGAGCTTAGTTAACTGAATTTTAGCCTAGTGCACTTTTTCGTATTTAACACTACTTTTTTCAGATAAAGGAGATTTTACTGGCAATGGAAGTCCAGTAGAAACGCTAATTACTATGAAGCGTAATAGTCAATTTGCAGATGCACAAATGAGCGAAATTATGGTTGCTGAATCCAATATTTTTGAACCTAAATTATCTGAACAAGAAGTTCAAATGCTGGACAAGGACAGAAGTGGTAGGAACAATATTTTAAGTTATTATTTGACTACCTATGTAATTTTTTTTTAGAAGAGTGTAATAGTCAATTTGTAGACGTACAAATGTAGTTTCTTTTTTAGAAGGAGCGGCGAGCTCAATTAACTTCAATATGGAAGGTGACGAGTTATTTGATGAAATGCCGTCCTGTTCAGAAGTCCAGTCCAGTGATATTAATGCAACTGCCGATGTTCACTAGACACCAATTAAAGAAAACATCGAAATAGAATCGGATATTAACGATCCAGACTTAAATCCAACATTAGATGATAGCTCTGACTCAGAAAGTGTAACTATAACTAAGTTACCGGATAATACAATAGAGGATGAAAATCCAAGACGAAAACGTTCAACAAAGTACGAAGTAAACAGAAATAAATGGCAAGAAAACAAAAACCGAATCAGCAGAGAAAAAGAAGAATCCTATGTAGGGAAAAGAAAGGAAAATGGAAAGTGGAGATATGATATTGTACAAGAACCAAGATCACAAAAAGAGGCCTGTCACTGTAAGTTGAGTGCAAATCAACATTCTATGTTGAAATGCAGACAACTAGCGCAAAATGAGAGAGAAATAATTTTTAAACAATTCTGGAAAAAATATACTTGGGCAGAAAAAAAGATGTTTGTAAAAAAACACGTGTCTGTAGAAACCACTAGTAGAAAGAGAGGAAATATGAAAGTTTCCAGAAGATCATACTCAAATAAGTTTTATTTGGGTAAGGCCAGACTGAGGGTGTATAAGCTAATGTTTCTTAATACATTAGGGGTGAAAGAGTGGGTTATAAAAAAATGGGCAAAAAAGAGTCTGGAAAACAGCGACATAGGTGAACATTTAGACCAGCCTGAAATAACTGATAAAATTAACCCTCCTGTTCGTTTGCTGCATGATTTTTCCGAGACTCTACCAAAGTTAGAGTCGCATTACTGCAGGGCTTCCACCAGTAAGCTCTATTTAGAACCTATTTGGGACTCTAAAGCCCATTTATATAAAATCTATAAAAGCGACTACTGCAAAACATATAATCAAAAACCTGTATCAATTGCCACATTTCATAAAGAATTCGATAAGAAACGGCTGTCGCTTTATAAACCAAAAATGGATCTATGCGACAGTTGTGTCGCTTATCAAACAGGCAATTTAACAGAAGATAAGTACAATGAACATGTGACACTGAAAAATGAAGCAAGAAATAAAAAGAATGCAGATACGGAGTATCAAAATGAAGTTTTAACAATGGATCTTCAATCGGTTTTGCTCTCTCCAAAATCCAATGTTTCTTCGCTTTATTTCAAGACGAAATTAATCGTCCATAATTTTACGCTATTTGACATTAAGCGCAAACAAGGCTACTGTTACCTTTGAAATAAGTCTGAGGGCGGATTGACAAGCAACGAATTTACAAGTATAATAATTCATTTTTTGAAGGGACATCTAGAAGAACATCAATTAGAAAATCAAAGTGACATAAAAATTATATTATGGAGTGACGGCTGTGGATACCAAAACAGAAACACGACATTATCAAATGGTCTATTTAATTTTGCATTGGCAAAGGGTGTAACTGTGGTACAAAAATATTTTTATTATGTAATAATATATATTAAATATACTTAAGTTTAATTAATACGTTTTCTTAATCTTAAATCCCCTTAAAGACCCCAAGTGAATATTT